TTATCCCAGAGGGTTCATCCCAGGATTTGGGGTCCCTCACCTGTGTGTGTCCCAGGGTTTGTGGGGTATCCCAGGGGTTTATCCCAGGGGTTTATCCCAGGGGTTTATCCCAGGATTTGGGGGGTGTCCCAGGGGGTTTATCCCAGGGGTTTACCCCTCACCCGTGTGTGTCCCAGGTTTGGGGGTTATCCCAGGATTTGGGGGGTGTCCCAGGGGTTTATCCCAGGTTTTGGGGGGTATCCCAGGGGTTTATCCCAGGATTTGGGGGTATCCCAGAGGGGTTATCCCAGGGGTTTATCCAGGACCCGGGCCCCTCACCCGTGTGTGTCCCAGAGGGGTTATCCCAGGATTTGGGGGTATCCCAGAGGGGTTTATCCCAGGATTTGGGGTTTATCCCAGGGTTTATCCCAGGGTTTACCCCTCACCCGTGTGTGTCCCAGGTTTGGGGGTTATCCCAGGATTTGGGGGTTATCCCAGGGGTTTATCCCAGGGTTTATCCCAGGGTTTATCCCAGGATTTGGGGTTTATCCCAGGGTTTATCCCAGGGTTTATCCCAGGGTTTATCCCAGGGTTTACCCCTCACCCGTGTGTGTCCGCGCGTGCCGCTGCAGCTCGTCGGAGCGCGTGAAGCGCTTCCCGCAGAACACCCAGTTGCACACGAAGGGCCTCTCCCCCGTGTGCAGCCTCACGTGGGCCCTCAGCAGGGACGTCTTCCGGAAGGTTCTGCCGCACTCGGGGATGTGGCAGATGTGCTTCTTCTTCCCTGGATCCCCCGGCCTGTGGAGGGAGGGAAGGGAATGTTGGTGATGCCCCAGGCAGAGAAACCTCAGCCCCCAGTGCCCCCAAACTCGGGTTTAAACTCTCGTGGGGAACTTGAGCCAAGCCTGTTGTCTGATTATCCCAAGGCTCAGCTTGGTTATCCCAAGCTCATCCCGTTTTCAGGAGAGCAAAGCGAGACTTGGAGCATTTTGTTTCTCCTCGGACAGCTCCGGCCTTTTTAATTCTGGGATAACAGTACCCAGGATTTGACTTGTTGTACCACCTCTGCAGCCCAGGGGGAGCCTCTGCCTGGTGCCATTCCCAAATCTAGGGATTATTTACCCTGGATCCAGGGATTGTTTGGTTCAGCAGTGTTTCAGCCTCTTCCCCAGCCTGGTTGGTGTGACAAGGAAAAGCCTCTGACCACCCAGAGGTGCCCCCCGAGAGCAGGAGATGTTTATCCCCCCCTTTTCTGGGCAGTTTGGTGAAATCAATCTGCCAATATTCCCCAGGAACCTGCTGGTATCCACCAGGTAACAGTTTCCACCAGAGGAGAAGGGTTCTGGGGGTGTGATGGAGAAATCCAAAGCAAAGGAGTGAACCCCCCGCTCTGGGAAGACCACGGACACACTCAGGTGAGGGGCAGCTCAGAAGGGGCTCATAAACCATCAGAGACCCCCAAAGCACCCCCAGACTCATCCCTGAGGCCTCCCACCACCAGAGGACCTGATCCAAGTGAGGCAACAAATCCAGAGCCTGTCCCAAGAGATTGCAAAGCTCCCCCACCCCCAGGGGAGGTGCCTGGAACCTCCTGAACTGATATTAATCCATCCCCTGAATTTATATTAATCCATCTCCTGAACTGATATTAATCCATCTCCTGAACTGATATTAATCCATCCCCTGAATTCATATTAATCCACCCCTTGAATTTATATTAATCCATCTCCTGAACTGATATTAACCCATCTCCACTGCATTCCATGTTTTGTGGGACCCTCACCACCAGGAAGACCAAAAGACCCCCAGGGCACTGCAGGCTCCACAGTGGTGACACATTTTCTCCCTCATCTCTCTCTGCCACTCCCTTTTCTTTCTTTCTTCCCCTCCCTTTTTTTTCCCCTATTTCTTTCTCTCTCTTTCTCTGCCTCACATTTACTGTTAAATAAAACCCCTACTCTTGACACTGGGTCTTGTTTGTATCCCAGTTTGGGTAGAGGTATAATTTTATATAATTCCATCATAATTTCAACACCTGGCTCGTGACCTGGGGCCGGGCTCAGGTGGTGTTCCCATGGGATGTGCTGCTTCCCACTCACCTCTTCTCCCCATCCTTGCAGTTGGGGCAGGTACAGGCCATCCTCCTCCTCTTCTCTCCGGGCTGGATCTCTCCAGACAG